AGGAAAATCGAGCTCCCTCTCCTGTTTTCAGGTCTGTTGGCGCTCGAGTGCTGCCGCAAAGGGTTTCTGTTTGGGTCAGGCCATCCGAGCGTGCAGGCAGAGTTAGGAGAGAGACGCAGGTCTTCTGCTATCCTTCCCCCACCCCGCCACTTCTTCCAAATTGTTGGAGAGCTTTAGCGTACTGGAATATTGGCAATTTAACCGGGTGTTACTGTCCCCATCACGGTGTGCCCATTAGACAACTTTTGGAGCCAGCTGTTGAAATGAGGTCACACTTGAACACCATTGAAGATAATCAAAGGTGTCGCTGAAGCTGAAGCTTTGGATTGATACGCCGGTTTGAGTGTTGTGAACTGGCCAGGGAGCTATTGAGGAGCTTTTTCATTCATCCTGTTTGCTGACCGGTTTATTTGGAAGAACAACAAGCATTTAATTGCAGGTCCCGTTAAAGCAGTGTTGTTACTGCTACGCCTTTGTCCGGAGTTAGTTTGGGTAGGAGAAACAATTGAGAAGTGGGTGGTCCTTTGCACTGCGCTTCCCTGTAGCTGCAGGGCTGTGGCTCTGGCCAAGTTTCTACCGAAAAAAAAAATTAATTTGATCTGACTATATCACCTGAGAGACTATTAATAGATTATTATATATAATTATTCAGATTAGCTTTAAATATATCGTTCCTAAAACTTTGCTTACTTTATTATGTGCATTCGTTATGTGCTCTTGGCCGCTCTTTTAGTTTGCTTTGTAGAGTAACTTAGCCTGATCGGAGGGAAAGTGGAGCATGTCATAAGCGAAAAATAATTGTTGCTCACAAACATGGAAAAGTATGTCCTGATGATGGTACAGCTGTGTGTGTGTGTGTGTGTGTGTATATATATATGTTTATATACTGTAGTGATTAATATGTTTGTAAGAAATGCAAGTTCTGGATGAAGTCTTCAGTTGTTGCAGTAGCAGTCATCCTTTTGCATTTTTAAAAATTCCAGAAAACACCGATGCGTGTAAAGCGTTGAAACGTTACCTGGCGGGTAGTTCCAGCAATTAAAATTCTTTCTTCTTCTAGCTTGAAGTTTAGTGGACGTATTAGAAAATGCTGAAAAAATGCTGCAAGGCGAATGTTGCCTTTTATCGATATTGCGCTTGTCACCGTCTGATGTAAAAGCACCGTCAAAATGTCGGCTCACACCAATAATAACCAGATAAGATTTGGTGAAATGTGTTTGGTGGTGTTTCCAATGTGGGCTTCTCTGTTCTGTTTGACTGTTTAAAGCAAGTTTTATGGCACGTTAAAAATAAATGATGGAGTGTAGAAAGTGGAATGCGATTCTTTAATTATATTCTTTCTTTTAATTTTTGTCTTTTTTTTTTCTTTTTTTAAACCCTGTAGATCTTAGGCCCCAAGACTCTTGGCGAGGTCCGACACCTTTGTTTCAGCAGTCACCGCAAAGGTAAGACGGGTATGATTGAAGCTTTATAAAAGGCAGGCAAGAGGATGCGCATGGTTCTGGCAGGTTTTGCAACATTGTTTGCTTGTTTTGAATTTTGTTGTTTGTATTTGTCTAAGTTACGTTGTACAGCAATTTATGAAGTTAATTAATGTCCATGATTTATTTATATTTTGTGAGTGCCCTATGCAGGGTTCATCCTTTAAAAGGTTTGAGTACTTTGTATTTAAAAAAAAAAAAAAGGGGGGGGGGGGAGAGGGGAGGCAAAACCACTTTCCATTAAAACTCAGACTTCAAAATTAACTTTACTGTTGGTGCTTTGGTACTGTTCTTGGTTCTTTGGCCTTTATCTTATTGAAGCTTTTGAGATGCTATGAAATTGAACACGGAGAGCTTAAAACTGCATTAGATTTTGGACAGGCTAAACAAATTTCTTTTTAGGAGGGTTGTGGAGCTTAATGAGGCATAACTAATGGTGTTCCACTTTTATCGTTTCTGTGCTGCAACCACAGCATTAGTACAGACTAGCCATTGATTCTTGCTACAAACCTCTTGAAGTCCTAATCAGCTTCTTTGGTACAACTTTTTCAGGCCTGACAAGCCTATTGTAGGGCAGTGTCACTGTAGGTCAGTAGTTATTAGTTGCCACTGAAAACAGTTTCTTTAACTACTTAAGACTGAACTGAATTAAATGCAGAAGGGACTCAGAGAAGGATTATGGAATCTGCAGTCCAATAAGTGCCATCGAATAGAAAGAATGTGACATGGTTTGATAATAAGGGATGTTTTACGTGCGTTCCTTCATTGATAAGTTGTGCGTCCTTAAGTCAGATGGACTTTATAAACTCCGGTATACCTGAGAGAGCTATGAATAATTACATTTATTTATGTTTGTGGAGACATAGGAGTGTATATAAGATCTTTGAAGTTTTGTTAAGCAAAACTTTTTTTTCCCTTTTTTCTCTCCTTTTTTCCATGCTTTTATGTGCGAATGGAAAATATCAGCTTTGGGAGAATTTATTGGGCTCTCTATAATCACACTTTCCATGGCAACCGTTTTGATCCCTATTGAAGCGACTCCAGCACCCTCATCCTGTGCCATGTCGGTGTTGAGTCTTGCTTTATAAACTTTGAGTTTGTCCACGTGAGTTGCTCTTCTCAAACGTCAATTTAAGTGCAGCTTGCGTAGTTTTGTTTTGTGAAATACTGCTACGGTTCTTGTGATTGTTTTTATAACGCTACGCTTTTTTGATTTTTACCAGCCTGTTTGTTTTTGCAAAGTGGAAGAGTTTCTCAGTTCACATATAAATCATTTTTTCTACCAAAACTTCTGTTTGTTTCACACTCAAAATGCACTTTTCTACATAATTGTAATACTAGACTGTGTGTCTAATCAGAATCCAATCCCCAGATTACTGCACTTGGTTTATGTTAATATTTTTAGAAGAGATCACATAACATCCAGCTATTTTAGAACATTTCCGCAGATATATGCTCTTGTAGGATTCAGTCTTTAACGTGGCCAGTGTGCTTCTAGAGTTGTGATAATGGCTTCAGTATTCAATGCCTAAACTAGAGGGAATGTGTGTCCCCTAAGGTAACTTTAAATTGAAAAATGTGCCGTGTCAACAGGGAAAATAAGCTTTAGAGAAGTTTGGGGATTGTCCTTCTAGCTTTTGCATGGAAGTAGTGTTTACAATGCTTCCTCTCCCCCCAGCTTATTTCTTGTTATACCCCTGGTAGTTCATAAAAATCACTAGCTTGCCAGTCTTAGTGCTGAGGATAAATAAGCCTGCTGTGTTTTTGGAAGGTGTTTGATTCGGGAAAGGAAGGGGTGTATTCAAACAGATGCTTATTTAGGGCTGGCGTTGAATTCCTTGGCGTATCGAGATGAGCATGGAGATTTAAACAAGTTGTAAACATACACGTAGGGTAGATAGACTTGGGGCTGTTTTAGGAACAAATAGTTGAACCCTGTTGAACCGAAACCCTCCAGAGAGGTTTTTGGTTCCCTGAGAGCTGCTGGGCCGACAGCAAGCTCTGCGGCAAGGCTGCCGCTTTGCGCACCGCTGGCCCCAGCTCCGCTCCCGCTCTGCGCCGCGGGCGCTCGGCAGGCAGCTGGGTGCCAACAGGCAGAGCGGTGAGGAATTTCGGTCCTGTGTCACCTCGGCTCCCAGGAAAAAAGCAATTGAGCGAGAGGCCAACCCCTGCTCCAGCCTTTTCAGATGAAGTGGGTAGACGGGAGGCTACAATATCCTTGATTTGCAACATCAAGGAAAGGATAACCATGGAGCCCCGTCCCTGCCAGTAAAACTTTGAGCCACTGTCTTTGGCCCTTTTGTGATATTTCGGGGATAGTGTATTGCGGCGGGGGCTAAACTACTTCTTGCTTTCTAGGCCTGGGGGAAAAAATCAATAGTGCAAAGCTTTTTCTTCATAATCCAGACGAGCTTTTCTCCTGCATAGGATTACTTGTTTGTGGTTTTTTTTGTTGTTGTTGTTTTAAAAAGCGGTTGCTGTTGGAAGAGGACACCTTTTGCATACTTGCAGGCACTGGTCTGCCTGGGCTGTGTTACTTGGAGGCACGGCAGACGTGGAAAAGAGGTTTTATGCCCCTAGCTTTCCGCAGGGCTGGGGATCCGATACGTTTCAGAGGTTCTGTACGTCTGCCCCCAGTTTTCCTGGCTGATGGCACTCCCTGCTCTGGTGGGTGGTCTGTGCGTCATCGCTTCCTACGTAGAGTTTTAGGGGGAACACGACAACTATTACGCTGTTGATGTTACTGTGATTTGTAGAATTACCTTAAGATTTGCTTAACCTGTTCATGGGCAAAATAGGCGTTAGTTTAATTGTAAGTTGACCTAACACTGAATAGTGCGTTTGGGCAACTTTGTCAATAGGGACACGTGATATTCCAAAGGGCATGATTTTTTGTTTCATTTATTTTGATTTTTTTTTTTTTTGTTACAAGGCATGATTTTGCTTTGTACAAATCTTCACCCTCAGGTAACTCCAGTCTCCAATTAATGCATGTGCTAGATGGACATGAAGTCAGTTGTTGCGAAGGCTGCAGTTGCCTGATTTTTGCCAGGTGAAAATTAAAATTTTGGCTTATAAAAATGGAGCATAACTGAGGGAATTGAGAGGAGCAGAAAGCTCTATGCTGCTTTTCTGACTCTAAGATTAGATATGTAATGTCAGCTTTTTTTTTTTTCCCCCCTATTAGGTTTCTCCCTTGGAGTGTATAATGGTTCTAACTGAAAATCACCAGTTCCACTATTTAGGATTGCCTTGAAGCTAAAATGACCCAAAATAATAGCGATTCTAATATTAATGTGTTTCATTGGCAAAGGTCCCAACTTTTCACTAAAGTGCTTTGATGTAAAAAAACTAAAATAAAATGTTTAAAATTTATACAAAACACTTATTAACCTCAAATGAAATTTGTTTTGAACTTCCACGTTCCAGGCACGTGACAAGTGCTTGCCTGTGATCTTCAGTTGCTGAGGCTATTTATCACAAGCCCAACTTTGTTGTAGACACTGAATGGCTGTTGATGGAAGTATAGACCTGGGGTTACGTAGGTAATTCACAGCCCTTTTCCTTAGGGCTGAACAGTATGTTCGCCTTGAAGAGTCTGCTGTTTTCTAGGAATAATGAAATAAAGTGGTTTGTACTCAAAGCGCTTAATCAAGAGGAATATCATACTTACAATACTGCTTTTGAGTGTTTAGTCCCAGGAAATGTAATGTGCTATTAACTTTAAATACTGTATTGCTCCACCTAATGAATGACTCCGGTAAGATTATGCATTTCTAGACATCTCTGATACAAAGAACAAAACTGCACAGTTCAGTAAGACCATTTAGCTTTTGTGCAGAAAAGGAACATGCACAAATAGTACACGTAATTACCAAGCGTGTGTTTATTGGGTTAAGACCCACACTTTTATAAAACGGGGATCAAGGTATTTCATTTCTGGAGATGGCTAGAGTTTCTTTTGCCTTTGAAGTTCAGACAGTTGTTAATCTGTCCAGGCACAGTGGTTGTCATACGGGCACAACAACCTGTAAAACAAAAAGTAGTTTGTATTGAAAAGCAGAAAGTTTTCACATCCGAGACATGTGTCTTCATTCATTCTAGTCTTATGTTTACCTGTCTTAATACAAACTTCGTCTCCTTTGCTGTTGGAGAAATTCCTATTTAGAAGTCCTTTCCTCTCCCAGCATCGCTTCCTCAGTTGCGCGAAGGCTCGTTTGCCGGCCCTGGTGCCCTTGACTCTGAAAACTCTCTTGGTCGGTCCCCTTCCCGAAATTCATGCCTCTTCCTTGCACTGCATGAGCAGTTAAAAGAATGCAACCCATTCAACCTCAAGGAAAGGTTATTCCTCCAAGACTGAAGTCCCCTGGATTGTAATCAAACCGCTGTAGCCAAAGACTCTTCAAAGACAAACCAAGTAACGTTTAATTCAGTGTCTTTGAAATGGCGCGGCAGCCAAGCATGAAATGCGCAGTGCTCACGTTCACTACGTTACTGTTCTTGCCCTCTCGCTCAGCAGTCTGTCCGCACAGTGTTCAGCTGGCTCTCTCTTAAGCAGAAGTCAAGAGATCAACTGTCTTGACTACCCAATGTTTTTCCGTTACAACAACATACTCTTCTGCAAAACGTAACTATTTTGAATACTCTAATGAATTGTGTCCTTAAAAGCGCTTAGCATTAAAGACTATATCATGGCTATGTCGTTTTTCTAAATATTTTTAATCAAACAATGATTTGATGCATTATACCTGTTGCTTCATAATTGTACCGCTAGATGGGCACTTGAAGGCAATTAAAACATTTCTTGCTCTTAGTAATCTAGGATGGCAAACGAGGTTGTAATAGACGTTGAATTTGCGTTCCCATATAAACTGTACACCAAATGTCAGTCGGTCCGTGCCAATTAGTGCTTATGTTGCTAGGTCACCGTGGTCAATTGAAAACGGCATCAATAGAACTTGAAAAGGTTTCTTCCCGATCGGACCTTCTGACATATTGAGGAGAATAATGGATGGGAAAAAACAGGCAAGGCCCCTACCCTAGATTCAGCATACTCGTCGTAAGAATTCATTTGCAACCTGCAATTAACTCGAAAGAATGGACTCCCAGAAAGGGTCTGGACATTTAGAAAATAAAGCCTCATTCTCCTGTACTGCACATGTTTACCCTTTGGATGGTGCGGTACGTTTAGCGAACTTGGCGATAGCTGCGTTTAAATCTACATTCCGGATCACGTTGCACATGAATTGGCAGATTTGCCCCTCAAATACAAGGTGGGGAAGGATCCTTCCAAGCGATTTTAAAAAAACTCCGGTTTGTCAAACTGAATTTGCTGCTTGTGGTAGGGAATGGTTCTCTAACTTTCAAGCTGTGGTGAAGAAAGCAAGTAAGCAAACATGGCCTTTAGTAAGAGAATTTTGAAAGATGGCTTTCCTCCTCTTTTCTGTGATGATTTGGCAGTCTACAGTACCACTACGCGTGTGGTCAGATGTGACGGTGTATAACTCTGAGACAAATCGTTCATCCTACTAGACTGTAGAAGTTTGGGGTTTGACATATGAAACTCTCTAGGAGTTAAATTCATGGTATAGTATTTGTTGTTGTTGTTTCCTTTGTACAGAAGCGCTGGGGCTGCTCCCCTTCTCGCTTGGAACCGCATGCTACCAGCCCAAAGTCAGTACCAGCCAAGTCAGTACCAAGGACTAGGCGGACCAATGAGTTACCCACAGAGACCTGAAGATCGTATGGACAGGGGAAGACAGGTATGAAAGCACTGCCTCCACTTTTTTTTTTTTTTTTTGCACTTTTATTCTCGTTTGCAACACCATTTCCTTCACACGTGGTTGCAAGGTGCGAGTGCAGCATAGGTAGGCCTTCCTGAGCTGGTTTTAGTCTAGTTAGCGTCGTCGTCGGTGAAAAATACTGACAAATAAGCTTCTGAGTCTGTGTACGTCGGTGGTGAAAGGCTTATGTCGTGACTACGCTACAAGGGCTTTTCGTTAGAGCTAGATCAAGTGTGCTGGTGAGTTACACACTTCTTGCAGCTTGAGGAAAATATAATCTAAAGGCAAGCATTTCAACCGGTCTTCCACTTCTGTGAGGAAGTGTATAAGCTACATGTTTTGGAGATTAAAGAGTTCCTTTCCCGTATGCCTTTAAAATGCAGATTTGTATAACTTAATTATATTTTTTGCTCAACTGTTTATTGGATTTATCTTAGCTGAAACACTACTTAAATGTTAGGTTCTGGTAACCAAGGAAATGAACATGACTGTGAATTGCATGTGAAAATGAGTGCTTAAATGAGAACAAGTGAACAAGGTAGCAGAACCTCTTCCCAAACTGTAGGTGAATTTGCCATCAGTTTATGAAAATGCCACATTATAAAATGCTACATTATGAAAATGCTTGTTGAAAACAGCAGGTTGTTTTGCTGCTGTGATTTTTTTTTTTAATGTTACCATTAAAACAATCTGCATAAACTCTTGAGTGTTTACCATGTGTTATATTAACTTAAATTACATCACAGTTTTTCCTGTTAGGCTTTGTGCATTTATGTACTGTTACTGTTTTTGTAAATCAGAACTATTACTCAGCTGTGGGAAGGTTACTGACCACTAATGGGGAAATAAAAGGAAGAGCTCTCAGCTGCTTGGAGTTGGCACTATTTCCCAGTCCTTTATATGGAAACTCAGGCACGAACTGTTTGTAATTTGCCTTCTGTGGGATCTGGTTCAGCTACCTTTCCTAAACATGCGCAAGACAAGCTGTGCTTTTAGTGCACGCTCTTAACTTTTCTTTTTTCCTTCCCAAACAGCCCATCTTTCCAGTCTGCAAGTGCTTGTATTATGCAGTACAACAGGAACACAGTCAAATTTGGTGCTTGATTTGTAGGACTGTTTCTCCTATTTCTTCCTACTAGCAGAAGAATATAGCAATTTCCATGTAGATAAATTCGGTCCTGCAGTACGTGTACTGGATAGTGTCCTAGTCCCCTTTGCTTATACATTGGGGACTGCAAATATGATCAGTTTAATTGGGAATCTGAAATTTCATGGATCTGTCTTGCTTGTGCCTTGAAGTTTTCCTGTGGACTTTGCTGTTATTACCAGTGTAAAACCAAAGTAGTTGAGCAGGGTTAGATAATGACCCCTTTTGGGGTATTAATATGGGTTTGAACTTGAGTTTCCATTCTTATAGCAAAAAGTGGCAAATTCAGAATTGTTGTGCCAGACAGTATAGTTGAAAGCCTGCTTAAGACATTTTTGCTTCTTCTCTGGTTCTTTGTCCGCTTCATGTTTTTCTTTTTTTATCCTGATCAGAAACTTAGCATAACCTATCACAACCGCTTTTGCACCATGGTGGTGTTATAGTGTGTGCTTCTTTTTCCTTTTTTTTTTAATTTTAAAGGCAGCTAACACAATAAAAATATGTACTGTCAAACCTAGTTCGTAACAGCAGAGAGCCTTAGGCCTTTCTTGGGGACGCTTTTTGCAAAGTTTCATATGCTTCTGTGGCTGGTTCAGCTTATCAGGGCTGAAACCCAGCAGAAACAGCCTGCAAGCCGCTAATACCATTCTCAGCATTGTCTGTTGACTGCAGGATTACATGTTGCTGCTGAAAAGATCTATAGGCAGCAAGCAATCTGTGCCAGCGCCCTGCGCTCTTCAACAGAACAAGGGTTCAGCTGAGCCCTTGTTAGCAGCAGCAAGATTCCCCTCTCCCCCTCCGCCCCAGCCCGCAGCATTTTCAGTGCCGTTGAGGCTTTTAAGAATGGGCTAAGAATTGCCTTTAGCTCATTCAGTTGTGATAGTGGGTGTTGTAGGAAGAAACGTGGAAAAAGAGAGGCGAGTATACCGTGCTCCCAAGTATGCTTGGGAGGCGTTGCCGGTATAAATCCTCCTAGAACCTGTTTTGGCTGTAAGCAAAATTAGCCAGCACGGGATATGATTACCTTAGGATTAGTGGGGAAACAGTGTTCTAGCTGGGGGGCTACAGTGCTGGCTATGCTGCCCAACTTATCCCCCACGTTTTTTCCCCGTATAATTGAAACTGGGATGAAGCAGGTGTTGACGGGTTGGAGGGACAGGATCAGTGTTTGAAAGTCTCTCATTTTGCATTATACAGGTTTACCTAAAACATTAGAGGCAAAAGAATAGGTGCATAATAGTGCTAATCCATAACATAGGCCGTCACATTACTGTAGAAAAATTAGCGGAGGATTTTCATGCTGGTGGAGCCTGGGTGGTATTTAATTCAGACTGGAAAATAAATACTCGAAAAAAAAGTATGCCTGCTATCCCGTATTCTGTTCCTTTATCTCAGTGTAAGTGGAAGTTTTGGGTGGGGGGGAGTGCTTAAGCTAGTTCAGTGCTGATATTAAACCTTCGTGCCTAACAGCTGGGCATGCCAGAGGTGAATAGGAACCGGTGTCTTAGGGGTGGCTCAGGGAGGGCTTCCTCTCTTGACTCGCATCGGGAAGGCCGTCTCGTTCCTGCGAGACCCCAGGCCGTGGCACCGACATTCGCAGCCTGTAACGGTGCCGTTGCAGCCTGTACAGCAGTGACACCAAACCTCCACCCTCACAGCTCGCCGCTCGTTTGCCTCCCGAGCGGTTAAAAAGAAGATGCAAAGCTAAGCTTGGTAATACCACGCTCTTGCCCGAGACGCAGTCCGCGTGTCTTTACTACAGGGCTCGTCCGCTGGATCGCGTAGTGAAGTTAAATCTAGGTGGAGGCGGAGGTTTTATTTGTATTCAAATATGTGGTGGTTATTAGAGGGGGGGAGATATTTCTGGCCAAGTAAATTTGATTTAAAAAAAAAAAAAATCTTATCAATTGTCTTGCTTTCTGACTGTTTTCAGTCGCCTTTTGAATCGTTGTGGCTGTTCTGTCTTTTTTAGGTTATTTTTTAAAGTGAACTTTCAGTTGTCGTTACTTCTTTGAGACTGGCAAACACTAAAGTAAAATCACAAACTACCTTTCAAGTGTTTAGGGAGCCAAAACAAGAATCGAATCTGGCGTTGCTGTCTATAAATTTCAAAGCTTTAAAGCCTTGAAAAGGGATTCAAGTGGAAGTGGTGACACACAGTAGCATAAATAATTATCTTTGGTCCCTTTCACCTCTGAATTCTTCTTTTACCGCGTACAGAGCATGGCCTGAAGAGGTTAATAAACCTACCGCTACAAAGCGCTCACAAAATTCACACAACTGCCATGGATATGGATTGCTCTGTGGCCGTGGGTATTTATTGGAGCGTTTTCCAGGTGTTCCAGAAAACTGAAGATCGTGTTGCAGCGGTGTTCAACTTTTTGGTTTTATTTCATAATAGCATCTAAGTGAATGTCCGGAGAATGTCTTAACACAACTGTTAAACGATCTATAAACGGTACCTTTATGTGCGTGCTGGCAGGAGACTGTGCTGTTTATAAAATTGGAAGGATTTTTCGAGGGATATAGTCAACTTGTTTCTCTTTCTTTAATTGGTTATTATAAATATATCTATATATTCCATACTATATTCCTCTTCCTGATAGTGGAAACAATGTATTCTGCATGTCTCTTTCAGGTCCTTTTAAAAAATAGAATGTAAGAAAGTGGTTTCTATTTAGAAAGCCTTTTTTGATTGCTCACCACAGACACGCTGAAGCTAAACACTCCTTCCTTTTCGGTTTTAGTTCTCTATGTGCCCTTGTGGGGTAGGCTGAAGACTGGTTGCTCTCTTAAAGAACAACACAAAAAAGCAACCCACCCCAAAACTGTAGCTGTGGTTGAGGGATCGCACTACAGCCGAGTTAACTTTTTGGTGTCTAAAATGTATCGGGTTTTGAGATCACTTAAAATGTTTCAGATGGACTTTCCCTTTTATGAAACCTTCTGTTAATGTATGGGAGACTTCATCTAAATTCAAAGGCAAAAATATAGTTAACTTGCAGTTATTTCTGAGACATGATATAGGGATATTTCTCCTGGTATTTAAAACTGAATCAGTGGTGAAAAATGCCACTTCTGTTACAGAAATGCAAACTTTTTTTTCCTTGAAAAATCTGTCTGTGAACATCTGTCTTATTGTAAGTACATATACATAAAAATGCCTTATCTTATACGTTAGCATAAGATTGCTTGCAACTAAAATAGAAAATGTATGGTCAAGAAAAATGATTTTTTTTTTCCTTCTACAAAATAATGAAAATAAAGCTGACTAATCATTACTCACGGTGTACAAGCATCGCACATCTCCAAGTGGAGTAGCGGTGGCCTAACCGAAGCATCATTTACAGTGTTATTCTGTGCAAAATACAAGCATGCATACTGCAAACGCCACATCTCCTTAGGGATTAAAAAGTACTGGTTTTCAAATCTGCCCTTCAGCTTGTGCTTAAAAAAAAGTTTTTTTTTCCCCCCCCCCCCCCCTTGCTTTATGCCCTTTGCTGCCAGGATTGCTGAAGACAAAGAATATGCAGCGGTTTCCTTCGGTGTATTTATTTCTTATTTAGAAAGGTTGCTTCTCCTGCAGCACAGATGGGAAGTGCGAGGCCGGTGCTGGACAGAGCTGCTCTCCTTTCCCAGACGTTAAAGCTTGTGTTTCTAGGGGGGCATCTGTAAACGCTATCAAGAGATGTTTAGCTTTTCGGCACTACCTTTCTGTGTAAAGAATGTATTGTTTCATTTCTGTATGGAGCCTGAAGCTAGGCTAACTTGTTTACTATGATGTTAATCCAAAAAATAAATGCTTGCTTTTGTTTGTTTGTAGGCATATGGCCCCGGGAGGCCCTACCCGTTACCACCTCCCTCAGGAAGATACAGCTGAAATAAGCTCTTGACTTTTTTTTTTTTTTTTTTTTGGATGGAAAATTTTGGGGGGGGGTGTTTTGTTTTTATTAATTAAGGGTGGGGAAAAAATGAAATCCTTAAACATCCCTGTAGTTTTTAAACTATGATACTTGTTTTAAATGTGTACATTTCTTACTGAATGGATTTTTTTTTTTTTGGTGGGGCTTACGTTGCTTTGAAATAGTATAATGCAAAATGCAAGTAAGCTAGATTTGCTAATCTGTTTGTGAGACGTTTGATGAAGTAGGAGTGCTGTTTTGTCTTTATTACATATAGAAGCTGTGCTTAGCTCTGCCTGTCAATTTGAACTCCAAACATCCTTTACTTCGCACATAAGAGCCTGAAAACAGATACGGAGTTGTAAAGAATGCATAGAAATCGGATTTTATTAACTCTTAGGGAGGACACAGCAGGCAGTCTGCAGAGCACGATGTTTAAAGACAGTTCTGTCGGTATTCCTTGTAAGATGCTTCTTTGAATTTCTCACAAAAAAAAAAAAAGAGGAAAAAAAAAAAGAGTTTTTTGGACTTCGAAGTAAAACATTTCAACTTTTACAACTTGTGCCTGTTCTTGACTTTGTCATTGTAACATAATCAAGCACGGAATATGTATTTGTCTGTTTTGATATATAATTTAAAATAGCTACCAAGTACATAATTTCCATTCATTTTTAGGATACTTTCTAGGGATTTTTCGTGTGAGTGTACCGAATCAGTAAATATTTTTTATTTGCCTTATAAAGTGGCTTTTGAAATTCTGAGTAGTTCTGAGTGGTTTATTTCTAACCCCCTCAAGAATACTTTTGTATCTCGTTATCTACATGTGTGCACACACCACTATTTGATACTAATTGCTTGAAAAATAATTCCACACAACTCTCCTAAGTGTTCAAAATCTTTCTCTGTTTAATCAAAAAGAAAAAACCCACAGCTTTTTACTAACACAAGAACATGCAGTTAAGCGAACAACGGTAGGCGTAGTATAACGTCCTTCATTTGTGTCACATTTTGACGTTTTCCATTAAACACGTGTATAATATGTATCGGTAAACCTTAAAAGATTTGCTTTAGCCTCGACACAAGGCAGCAAGAAATAGCGTTGCCTTGGCTGTCTCTTATAAGCTGTTTCTCAGCTCCTTCCTTCAAGAGCCCAGATGTTAATCAGCAGCAATGAGGAAAAAGACCAGACCAATGTAACCTTGGGAGGAAGAAATCATGAAACTAGATTCATTATTTTCAAGTGATTGAGGGTGGAGCAGACTCCCTCATTGTAATGCAAAGAGTTGCCATCCTGCCTGGAGCTGGGAAACACTATCGGCGCCCACCAATAGCGTTCTCAGCCCTTCGGGAAAATATTTGGGTCTCAAAAAGTAATTTTGCTTTTTGAGCGGAACAAAACCAGCCGTGAACGTGAATTTTCATGCAAATACCCTGGCTGAGTGCGAGGCTGAAGGAAGGAGCTGGATGGGTTGCCCATACGGCGCCAGCGATGCCCCCCCCCTTCCCAAGGGGGGAACCCAACATCCTCGCGTGCTTTTGTCCTTTGTGCTGCAGGCCGGCGGGGGGAAAGGAGGGCTCGATAAACATCCTTTGGGGACCAGCCTGCGGAGGGCTTGTCGCTACAGGTGCCGAAACCAAGATTTCCCCCC